CTTTCCTTCCAGGAGAAGGACCGTCCCCACGAGGGGACCAGGCCTGTGCGCGCTGTGTTTGTATCAGATGGAAAGATCCTGACCACAGGCTTCAGCCGCATGAGTGAGCGGCAGGTGGCGCTGTGGGACACGGTGAGTGCCGGGCGGGAGCAGAGACTCAGAAGACAGGAGGCTTAGGCCTTGCCCTGCCACTTGCCTGGCTATAAGGGCATGGGCCTCAGTTTACCCACCATGAGATGGGGGTTTCCGCTGACTGGTCTTTCCTGGGTCACTGCTCATGAAGAGCACCACCCCCGGGCCTGACATGGCCCCGCTCATTGTTACCTCCTGCCCGTCTTTACAGAAGCACCTGGAGGAGCCGCTGTCCCTGCAGGAGCTGGACACTAGCAGCGGTGTCCTGCTGCCCTTCTTTGACCCCGACACCAACATCGTCTACCTCTGTGGCAAGGTGGCCCAGCTGGGCAGGGGGTCAGGGGAGGAAGGTGGGCAGTGGGGCTTGGAAAGGACTGCGGCTGGAGGCATGTGTCGGTGTTGATCCTCCCTTGCACCCACCACTTGCAGGGTGACAGCTCTATCCGGTACTTCGAGATCACTTCTGAGGCCCCATTCCTGCACTATCTCTCCATGTTCAGTTCCAAGGAATCCCAGCGTGGCATGGGCTACATGCCCAAACGTGGCCTGGAGGTGAACAAGTGTGAGATTGCCAGGTGACTGACTCCTGACTCTGACCTGAGCATGCTCCTTGGGCAGTGCTGACCCCATGCTGACCTTCAGCCCCAGCCCAACCATGCTGTGGGCGCTGCTCACCTTCCTGTTTCCACAGATTCTACAAGCTACATGAGCGGAGGTGTGAGCCCATTGCCATGACAGTGCCTAGAAAGGTGATGCTCCCATGTCCCTCCCTGGGCTCTGGGTGGGGCACTGACCTCGTGGAGTTGCAGGGTGGTGGTGTGGCCTAAGCACTCTCTTAACCAGCCTTGGCCTTGCCCACAGTCGGACCTGTTCCAGGAGGACCTGTACCCACCTACTGCAGGGCCGGATGCTGCCCTCACGGCTGAGGAGTGGCTGGGGGGTCGAGATGCCGGGCCCCTCCTCATTTCCCTCAAGGATGGCTATGTGCCCCCAAAGAGCCGGGAGCTGAGGGTCAACCGGGGCCTGGACACTGGGCGCAGGAAGACAGTACCAGAGGCCAGTGGCACTCTTAGCTTGGTAAGAGGCGGATGGGAGCCCGAGAATCAAGATGGGAAGATGGGGTAGGGCAGGGGCTGCTACTGATGTGGTCATTGACCCAGTGGAAAGAGGCTGGCATTTGGGGCATCTTAAACTCACAAAGTTGGGGATCCCTTGGGGGCTGGGAGTGGGTAATCCTGAGGCCTCAGAAAACAGGTTTCAGGTTTATAGGCCTCCAGCTCTCTGGGCAGCGACTGGCTGAGAGAGGGAAGGGCTTGAGCCCTGGGGCTCTTGGGAGGGGGCTTAGGGGATGCCAGGATAAGGGGAGCCGAGGGAGGCTAATGCAGTGCTGGACCCCCAGGATGCCATATCCCGGCTGGAGGAAGAGATGAGGAAGCTCCAGGCCACGGTGCAGGAGCTACAGAAGCGCTTGGATAGGCTGGAGGAGACAGTCCAGGCCAAGTAGAGGACCCCTGGGCCTTCAGCTGGGGCTCGTGGCATCACCACCCTCCCTTCCATTCGTACTCCCACTCCTCAGACCACAATGGCACATAAAAAAAAAATAATAATAAAATGGCTTTATTTTCTGGTATCTCTGAGACTCTGATGACTGGTCATCTAGAGGCTGGGTGTGCTGAACTAACCTGCCCTTGAGCTTCCCTCTCCGTAGCCTTGATGGGACTGGTTCCATGGCAGGGGCGGGGGGATGCCCTAGATCACAGGAAAAGGCCTTGGTGGGCGGGAGCCACTCCGTGCTGATGTGAGTTGGGAGCCTGCTGTTTCCCAGCTCCTTCTCAGAGACAGCAGGTCTCAGGTACTCAGGGCCCTAGCCTGGGGCCTCAATAACTCCCATGTTTACCCCAAATCTGCCTTTCCTAGTCAACCACACATCAGGTTGCATGCAACTGTATTGACACTGTTGCTTGGGGAAATGAAACAACTAGCACTTACATGACATCTTTCAAACTATCGGCCCAAGGGATCAAAGGAAGGGGACCTTTTGTAAAGAAAAAGCTTAGAACCAAAGCAATGGCCCAACTCTAGTTTAGAGGTGAGGAAACTGAGGTACAGAGCAGGAGAGGGGCTTGCTGAAGGACAGATCCTGATTCGTGACCTAGGTCTCTCCCCTTCTAGTTCAGAGCCTTCCCGGCACAGTGCTGTCTCTCGAGCCCTTCGAGAGGTTCCTCCTGGCCTGGCCTCTGTGAGAGGGACCTGAATACATCTGTCAGGCCCTATCAAGAGGGGGCTTGAAGTCAGTTTCTGATGCCCAGCTTAGCAGGTGACCCCCTGAGCTGGGACACAGGGCTACTAGGGATGGGTGTCCTGGCCACAGCAGGGTTGGTTCACCCATGCAGGGTACACAGCAAGGACTAAATGCCCCATTCGCAGCCCCTGCTCCCTCTTCAGTGTGCTATAGAAAACTACCTGGGTAGAGAGCCGCACAAGGCAACCATACAAACATCCCTGTCTGCCCATTTTGGTCTCAACCTCTGTGCAAGCGATGTGACCCTGGGCAAGTCACTTTCCCCCCATGGCTCAGTTGCCCAACCATAAAACAGGGAGTGATACCATCACAGCTCTGTGAACACAGTGGGTGGATCCAGTCACGGATGTGGTAAAGAGAATCAGAAAATTGGAAGCCTGGGCCTTATAAAGAGGTGAGGTCTCTTCTCGGAGCCTCTCTGGGGATAATGGGCCCTTCTAGTGAAGTAGACCTGTGAGTAGACTCAGTCACTCCTCCTGGCCCAGGGGAACTGAAAAAAAGTTCAGAAAGGATCCCTGGAACCCAGAAGGGTTAACCTGTCATGACCATGACTTCCAGCTTTACCAGCCCATTCTCTCTGATAGGAACAAGATGGGGAGGTAGGCGGTGGAGGTAACTTAGGGGCTAAGAAACCGGCCTTGAAAACACAGGGGAACAGGGTGGGTGGGATGGTTGAAACCTGCCATTTCTCTCTCCCAAAGAGCCCTGGCCCCAACTGGGTCACTTGCTATCCCTCCTGGGACTCAGGGACCTCATCTGCACAAGCCTCACCAACTCTGGCACCTCTGTTTACAACTGATCATAGGGGCATCCCCTGCCCCAATTTTGTGGCTCAGGTCGGCCTTACTTTCCTCCTCTAACCCTATCCCCATCCCCTGCCCCACACCTCCATTCCTGAAAACCTCACGGTCTCTCCCTTAACCTCCCACATTAAGCCCATGGCTAAGGGGTCACTGGACCTTCTCCAGTGGGCCAGAAAACATCAGCATTCCAGGTGTTGGGGAGCCGCTGCTGGAATACTATGTTCCTGAGGCTGTGAAGGGCTGGGGGAACTTGCAGGGGAAGTATGGAATCCTCTATGATACCTCTGATGCTGGGGAAAGGGAGAGCTTTGTTAAATTGGCCAGAGTCCTTTCTGAAACCCTGAGCACTTTCTCATCTGTGCATCTGGAAGGCAGGCAGAGAGCAGGAACCCCCAGCAACAGTGAATGAATAGGTGCTATGGGTGGGTAGCGGTAGTACCCCTAGCGGTCTACCAGAAATTACAGAGAAGGCCTCTGAGGCCCGCCCTGGAAGGAACCTTAAGAACAGAACTTTTTATAAGTGGGGACACAGGCCTATCTGTGGAGAGGGACTTGCCCAAGGTAAAATAAGGGATGGCGGCGGGGCAGGGAGAAGCCAGGCCCTAGACTCAGTCTCAGGGCCCTCTCACCCTTCCACACACAACACACTGACACAGAAGCTGGCCCTGATTCATAATTTAATGGCTGTGCTGGTCCAGGTCCCTTATTTCTGCCGATCACGGGCCCACTGCTCTGGGGTTAGGGTTTTCTGCTCAAAGGCATGGATGTGCGGGAGTTCTTCTGCTAGGCACGTGTTCACCAGCCTGGGAGGAGAGATGGGATTAGGAGAAGGTAGGCTGGGACCTGGGCTGTGGTCCCCGAAGCTAGAGTGACCCTGGCGGCTGGAGGTGTCTCCCAGGTCGTAGTCCCGGGGACCTGGGAACAAGCTGGGAGAGGGCCTAAGTCGAAATACCACGAAGGCGGGATCCTCGGGGTCGTGGTCCACAGTGCTGGACCGCGTTGGCTCGCATGAGGGAGTTGAGCTCCGGGGAGTGGCCGGGGTGTGGTGCCGGAGCTGGGACCGCGCTAAGCGAGGTGTTCCCGGGGCCTCACCGGTGTCTCTGAAGCAGCGGCTTCCCCTCAAACTTGGCCGACACCACCAGGACTCGGAAGCTGGACGCGCAACGGTCGGGAGTCGTGTCCTCCACTTCCTATGGGGCAGAATAGCGTGGATGGTGCCAAACCCTGCCCCCGGCAGCCCTTTCCCCTCGTTGGGCGAGTCTTGGCCGCTCAACTCACCACGTGCTCTGCCTCCAGGTCCCGCTGCAGCTTCTCCCGGAGGTACTCAGCGCTGAGTTCCATGGCCGCAGCCCAGCGGGGGCGGCGCCCGGGCTCGGACCCGGGCCACACTGCTTCCGCCCTTACCGACACCACTTCCGCTGAGAACTCTACTTCCGCCCTTACTACGGCGTCCGTAAACCCAGCACTTCCGCCCTCCCGCAAGCCTAGCTTTCCAACAGTCTTGGGTGTCCGCGCTACCAGCAGTCGGCCAATCAGAGTCTGCATAAGGACGGACTCGGCCGGAGCGGACGCTAATTGGTGCCCGCCGCCTGCACAGCAGCCGGTTCTGTGGGCCGGTTTGGACACCCTAGCTCCAGCCAGGGAGGGGGCACGCACCTGCATGACTGTGGCCTCTAGGGTACCTCGGGATCTCCCCTAAGCGCTTTTTTCACAGACAAGCAACTTGCGACCCTGGCCACCCAGCCCTCCCCGTGCTCATAGGCCACAGCAATCAACCCACAAGACCCGATGGGCCCCGAGGAGGGCGCGGCGAGGCCCGGCCGCTTCTTCGGCGTCTACCTGCTCTACTGCCTGAACCCTCGGCACCCGGGCCGCGTCTACGTCGGGTTCACCGTCAACCCTGCTCGTCGGGCCCAGCAGCACAACGGAGGCCGCAAGAAAGGCGGGGCCTGGCGCACCAGCGGGCGCGGGCCATGGTAAGAGGGAACGGGTCACGGTCAGGAGCAGGGCTCCAAGGAGGAGGAGGGCTTCAGGTAGCAGACGGGCCCGGCAGAGGAGAGGCCAGTGACAGTGGGCGGGGCCCCTGTGGAAGCTGAGAGACAGGATGTCGCTGGGAGGGCGGGGCGGGGGTTGGGGGGAAGACGGGCCTATCAGGGGAGGAGCCTGGTGGGGAGGCGGAGCCCTGTGAAACTAGAGAGTGGGACACAGAGACCCGGGTTGGGTAGGAAGGGGACTGATGATCTAGGCTTGGTCCAGCGACAGGAGGTTGCTGAACGAGGCTGGGGCTGCAATAGAAACAGCCTGGAAGGGAGAGAAACTGAGGATAGCGGTTAAGTACGTGTTGGAGGTGGGGCCTGAGGTTGGCAGGTGCGAGGGGGCGTACCACAACGAAGGCGACAGGTCCTCGTGGGCTACACTTGAAGCCACGTGTGAGGACTCCACTCTCAGTTAGGACTAGAGGCTAATCCTGGCGAAGGGATTCGACTTGACTTGGGATGGGGTGGGGTGGGAGGGCTCACAGACCGCGCCTTCGTTCTCTTCCCCAGGGAGATGGTGCTCATCGTGCACGGCTTCCCTTCCGCCGTGGCCGCCCTTCGGGTAAGAAAGGCGATGGGGGCGGCGGGAGGACGGGCTGGGGCTGGAGCTTCCCCGCGCGGCCCTCTTCCCAGGGCGGCCCTGAA